TCATGAATCTGGTGTCCATCATTGGCAGCCAGAGCTCTTCGGTCTGCTGTGTTGGTTGAGTTTGCTGGCTGAACCATTTTTGTTCAAGCTTTTAGATCGGGATGACTTAGTTTGTCATTCCCACAGACGGCGCCAAATGTTTATGCAAAGGTTTGCACAACGCTGTTTTACGAACCAAGCTCGAACCCGGTCCCAGGATCGACCTGAACTCAAGAGTGAACCTGCACAAGAGGGTAAACTCTCCGACGCTCAAGTTAGTGTAGGTCAGGCACAATATAAGGTTCGAGATGAGATTCGATACCTGAGCGTGAAATGAGGCCCTCTATTTATAGGTGGTGGATCCGACAGTACTCACGACCGGCGGTTATATGATTTTTCTGTGTCGAACCTGTCGGGTTTGAACATATCGAATCCGTCCAGGTCGGACCGGGGCTTTTTACACTTATCCCCCACGATGGGTGAACCCAGTCTCCTCGGTAGGTTCGAGGTGGACCTAGTGGTAACTTATTCCCGAAACACCAATGAGCGTCCTCCACGTGTCCTAAGTATTTTTACTCCCAAACAGGGGCTATGACAACCAGCCCATAAAGCGACAATTGACAACGATAAGTGCTCTCAGTACTAAGAGACTTGATGATAGCCAACTATAACAAAGAAAATGAGCCTATGACAGCCAGCTCATAGAGACGATAACTAGCAGCGACAAATACTCTCAATATAGAAGCCCTATGCTTCTATTTTGAGAGTGAGAGCTATTGTTATATGAAGAAAATAGAGATCAAACTAAGCAACCGAAAAGAGAAAAGAGAGCCGAAGAAGGAACGGACCCGAAGAGAGGTAAGTGGGTCAGGGCTCAACGACTCGGGCCCGCAGTAACCGTCCCAGGGTCGGCGCCGAGCATACCGAGCAGTGCTCGGCCTAGTAGCCGAGAACCTCTCCAATGAACCCCGACCCCGTGCAAGCCTAGTTCGAGTCGACTTGATCTCGGCCTTGAATAATACAGCATGAGGTCCATTCCGTTTAAAATCTCCTGAGTGCATAAGGATTCGACTAATGTAAATCCTAAAGGGATTAGGGTTCAACTCATGTAAATCCTAAAGGGATTAGGATTCGACCTCTATAAATACGAGGGTAAGCCAAACTCTAGAGGTATGCCAAAAAACCATACTCTCTGTATTCGACTAATCAGATACTAACTTAAGCATCGGAGCCTGTGTGGCAAAAGCCACACTGGTCTGAGGGTTATTTTGTTTTGCAGGTCTCATCGATCCCTTTGTTCTAGAAGATTGGTGCGAATTTGGCGAGATCCCAAGAGACTGAATTCTAGCCTCAACAGTTTTTTCCCTCACTCTTTTAGTAGATTTGATGTAGTTTGTTTGTTAATTTTTTCTAAATTATTTTTTTTTTATATACTACTCTCATGGTTTATTTGGAAATTATACTAAATTGCATAAAACAAATATATTTATTTTGTTGAGATATCTATATATGAATTAAATTTAACTTAATCCATCTGTTGAGTTTTAGAGTTCATCAGTGGTTTATCCATATATTAATTCATATCAGAATAGGAGGTCATATGTTTAAACCCCCAATATTATTTTCTCCCTATTTATTTTGATTTCCATAAATTTATTTTTCTAAAAAAGTCACAAACTTGACTTTTAGTTTGTATTACGTGATCGTTTAAGTTTGCAATGTTCGATTTACCCTTTCTAATTTTACGAAAGCTTTCAGTTTGATTTTGCTTTAATTAAGTACAAATTTGGGTTTTTAAGTCCAAATACAATATAATATGTAATTTTTTGTAAAATTTTAAAATTAATGATATCTTAAAAATAATTGTAATGTTTATGGAATTCTAACATGAAATATAAAATTTATAGTAAAAATTGACTCGGGGTCAAATTCAGGGATAAAAGCGAAATCTTTCTATAAAAACAGAACAAAAGAAAACGTAACTAATTGAAGCTGTTAATTCTACCGCTAATTCAAGTAGTAAAATAGGTGAAAAATGAACTTCCCTAATATATATATATTTTGAAAGTGTTATAACTTATTGGTATCCAGCGTGGCTAATCAAATCAAGTCAAATTTCTTTTTGAAAGGTTGTTTAATTAATTAATTAATTCAAAGGGAATACTTTTCTTTTTCTTATTCTTTATAGGGACTGTTAATTTAAAGATTTGATTTGAATCTATATGGTGGAAAATTGGTTATACCAAAGATTCAAGGAACTTTAATATATAAATAAAACATAATGGTCCAATCATAATCTAAAAGCTTCTTTTCATAAATGTATTCCTCAAATAATCTACCAATTATTCAAACTCATACTTGCAACTTGTCAAACAAATACCAAGGCCACCAAATTGGACCTGGTTTCAATTAGAGAGTGAGAAGTTGATGCTTATAATTTTATAACATCAAAAATTAAATAATAGTTTAAAATAACTTATTTTAATATCTCATACTTTGAAACCAAAAAAAAAAAAAAAAAACTCTCATTAACTAATCCTTAATCATTAATTTAGTTACATCACATGAATGCAAATGCCAACAAGACTACAAGAGATTTACAATAAAATTAATATCGTCCCCAAAATCTAACTAGAAAGTTATTAAAATATAGGTTAAAACACTGGTGTTTTACCTTTAAGTTTGATTCATTTTGGATCCTATACTTTGAAAACATTCTTTTTAGTCCATATGCTTTCAACTTTAGTTTATTTAGTTCTTATACTTTCAAAATGTTCGTTTAAATCCTTATTTTTAATCTTATTTTTTGACCACAAGTTCAACACGACGCTATATTAAATATATTATTGAAACGTAGCCATGATTTTATATTAAAGAGTTTTCGTTATGTGTATATATTTTTTTCAAAATTTACAAATAAAAACCAAAATGGTCACTCTTTAAAAGTACTGTCACCAAAACGAACATTTTGAAAGTATGGGAACTAATTAAAATGAATAAAAGTTGAAAGTACATGACTAAAATGAACATTTTGAAAGTACAATAACCAAAATGAAACAAAACTCAAAGTATAAAAACCAAAATAGTATTTTAACCTAAAAAATATGTAAACTATAAGTTTGTCCCCGGAGCATTTTAGGATTGTTTATTCAATTCTTAGGGTTAAAAAGTTCKAAGAGTGTCTAATAGATTCTTCAACTAATTCTACGTATTTCGTCTCTATACTTGAAAAAATTTCAATAGGTTTTTGATGAGGGGTTGAATCTAGCAAATAATAATTCTATAAATGACTTTAGATTGCAGCAGTAGTAAGTAGAAAAATAGTCTTACTTTAACATTTTTGGAATGTGAAGTTGAATCGAACTTCATGCTTCTTAAAACATCAAGGAACTTACCAACAAGGATAAGCTGGTTAAAAGTTGACTAAGGGAAAGGGATCAAATATCGTGTATAAATTCTTGATACCTACTACGTATCATCTATGTTATGAAGAGCAGCAGGGTGGAACGGAATCATCTAAAGAGAGTAATGGAGAGAATAAGATTTGACTCCATATGAATTGATTTAATTATGAAGAGTGTGGAGTCAGTCAGCTTTTTGGTTCTAACTCAATAGCATTCCAAGAAGAACCTTTCAACTTAAGAGAGGTCTTCACCAAGGTGACCATTTATCCTCTTATTTGTTTTTGTTATGTGCGGAAAGCCTTTGAGCCCTAGTTATTTTCAGGTCTGCGCATCAATAAACATCGTTCTTCTATATCTCAATTTTTTTACTTTTTTTCTTCTGATGATAACTTAGTTATCTTTAAAGTTGATAATACTAATTGTGCTTCAATTCAACGTATACTTCTAATTTATGAGAAAGCTTCTGGTCTAGTTATAAATTTTGAAAGTCTGCTTTTACGGTTAGTAAAAATATAGAACCAGACATACTGAAGCACATCTGGGATGAGATCAACATTCAGCACACAACTTTGCTGGGTCAATATTTGGGGCTCCCCTCCCAAATGGCTCGGAATAGATGCCAGACCTTCAATGCTATCAAGGAGAGAATTTGAAAAGTGTTGTAGGGATGGAAGGAGAAAATCTTCTCAATTGGAGGCAAGGGAGTTTTGATCAAGGCTGTTGTGCAAGCAATACCAAATTACACAATGTCGTGTTTTAAGATTCTAGTGACACTATGTAAAGAAATCAGTTATCCCTGTGCAAATATTTCTGGTGGGGATCATCAGACAGAGCAAGGAAAATTCATTGAAAAAGTGGGTGTGGAAACTGTGTCAAACCAAGGATCAAAGAGAGATGGCCTTCAAATAGATAAGCATCTTCAACCAAGCTATGCTTGCCAAGCAGAGTTGGAGAATGTTAAAGAATGAAAGAAGTTTATTAACTCAAATCATGACAGGGAAATATTTTGTCCATGGTACCTTGATGAGAACGAAATTGGGGAAAAACCCTTCCTATGTTTGGCGAAGTATTATATGGGGTGTTTATGCAGGAATTTGCACAACGGTTCTGCACGAATCGAGTTCGAACCCGATCTCCGGTTCCGACCTAAACAACAGAGTGGACCTGCACAAGAGGGTAAGCACTCCGACGCTCAAGTCAGTATAGATCGGACTCCTTATTTAGTTCGAGGTGAGATTCGATACCTGAGCGTGAAATGAAGTCCTCTATTTATAGGTAATGGATCCAACAGCACACACGACCGGCGGTTACATGTCTTTTTTCATGTCGGACCTGTCGGGTTCCGAGCAGGTCGGACCCCAGTCAGGTCGAACTTTGGTGCCCATACTTCATCTTTTAAGGGGCAAACTCGGTCACCTCGACAGGGCCGAGGTGGACCTAAGCAATCCTTTTTATCTAATTTCTTCAAACACGAATAAGGGTCCCTCCACGTGTCTCAAGTATCTTTACCCCCAAACATTGGCCCCCTCTCTGTCAGGTTCGATCTCGACCTGGCAGAGAAGTTTATTCGAATCTATTTTTGGACACGTGGCGACTTTTCATTTGTAGAAGGAATATGACCGTTGCGCAAGACGTTTCGACCTGTCAGGTTGTCGGAGCACTCAAGCGTTTCGCCGTTGCGTATCCCGAGAAGATCCCAGCCGTTCGTTGATTACACGTGTACGGCGCGGAGGTTTTTCCAATCAGCTATAAATAGTCCCGAAACTTCAGGTCGAACCTTACGTTTCCTGAATTTCTGGAGTTCGATCTGAAACCAGCTCGAACCCTTTCTCTAGGCCAGTCATTTCTCCTTGCTCTTACTCTTCTTTCAAAAATGGTAGTTTTCTTATCTTCCCCCTGCAGTAGTGATAGCCTGGGTAGTGTAGGTCGGACGATAAGTAGTTCGCCCCCCAA